CATTTCCTCTAGCCACAATAGCCCCAAAATTGTTGATCTGGATATCTGACATGTCTGCACACTGAGCATATTTAGCAGACATTTGGCAAATTGGCTTTCAGTCTTAAATCCTTTAAATCGTCATCATAAGTAACCATCATTATCCCTTACAACACAATAAGTCCATAAAACAGAAGGCAAATAATGAAAATCATCGCTGCCCTAGTCTTATTTTTTCAGTTCTTTTATGTTCTGAGGTAATCATGCTACTTCCACCATTAGTGCACAAAGGACTTTAGGCTACCCTCTCCATTTCTTACTCAAAGGCTACCAAAGATAAACTTGTTTAGGTAGCTTGTTACTGGACATTCTTAAAGGATACCCAAGAGATGCCCTTCTCATCTCCCATGTTGTATAATGTAGTTGTGCATATTCTAGGACCTCCTTATTTCTTACCCTGCCTGTCCATTTTATGTTGAGATTGTGTGTGTGTGTATGAGAGAGTGAGAGAGAGAGAGAGAGAGAGAGATTGGCAGTGTGTATGAGAGAGTGAGAGAGAGAGAGAGAGAGATTGGCACACTAGCTTCTGCTATAGTTAAAACTAAGTATTTCTATTGTAAAATAACTATCAGGGAAATGTTAGATCGTTTCTGAAGGACAAAAAGCTTTCCTCAAAGTAGTTCTTATTACTGGGAAAACTTTTAATGGAACTGAGTTCATTCCATGCTTCTCTAATTTCCTCTGTGTGGGATACATTCCACTTCCCTTCATTAAGAGGTCAGTGAGGAAATTCCAGGCTGCAAGAATGTCTATAATAGAAATAATTTTCTGGGAATTTAAATAAAATTATTTTCTTGACATTTTTTATCAAATTAAAATTCATTTCCAAATTAAACAAAATATAACAGCATTAGAATAAAGATTTCCATAATATAATTGTTTCTTTTACCTTGGAATAGAGCAAGTTTTTAAAATATAGAAGTCAGAATATCATCCCTGATTATCAAATTGTTTAATTAATATAACCTTTACGAAATTGTTTTGTTTAAAAACTGATAATGCATTATGCACAGCATAATTGACATCTTCACAACACAATAAATCCAAATAGTTTCTTGTTTAGCTAACATTTTTTCACTTTTGTGGATATCCAATAAAAATGACATATTTTAAGGTCTGCTTGACAGTCTTGTGAAAATTACAGGTGAACATTTTGAATGGGTCATTATAAATTGCAGTTGGCAATTGGGTTTTGAAATAAAGCAATGAGTCTTTTGCGCTACTCATTACTGGAAGTACTTATTTTCCAGTGGAAACCAAAAGAGACTGGTAGAAACAAGCTAACCAGCAACCAATCAAACATCAACAAAATTGTCAACAAAAATATAGCATATAAAATGTACAATATCATTTCAGGAAACTTAGTTGATCCTGCATTTGCAACACCATGCAGTACTTTTGTATCCATATGAACCACTGTTAACTTCAATCCACATAAATGAAAGGGCCCCACCACAAAAACCTGATTGCAGAAGGAAAGTTCATGTACTGAAATGACCTAATGAAAAACATGAAACCTTGAAATTTAGCACTTATGCTCTGTGTCTTGTCCTTCACATCTGCCTACGAGGGTCTATTCCACCGGGATCCTTCAAATTATCTAGTCCATTTCTAGTGTGCTAAAAATGACTACAACAGTTGTTTGTTTCTGCTTTGGTTACAGCTATTTACATTATGCTATTAATTTCACCGAGAAGCAGACAATAAAATTCAGCAACTGCTAGAGTAGAAAATACTTTGACTTTTTGCACTCCAATGAATCAAAATCAAAGGAAACGGCAATCATACATTAATCTGCAAAATATCACCAGGAATTATTCATTACAAATTCCCCCAAATAGTAAGACCTTCTTACCTCCAGTCACACACACACACACACACACACACACACACACACACACACACACACCTTCCTAATGTAGAAGCCATTTTGTAGGGTGTGATGAGACACTTATCAGTGACACTCCCTATTGATGAAGACATAATCAAGGAAAATCTCCTTGATTTTCCAGAAATTGAGGGAAAGAAACATTAAGTTTGTTAGACTGTAATCTAAGTTATATACTGAGTAATTAAAGCATTTTACAAAGTGGTGAGGAACCTGTTAAAACAGAAGCAGCACAGATTACTGTAGGAAATATAATCTTAGGCATTTGATAGATGGAACACAGATTCATATATTTTATGTGATCCGCATTGTGATCACATAGTCTGATCTCCTGAGCAATCCAGGCCAAGGGACCTTACCCAATAATCTCTGCATTAATACTATGATTTCTATTTGTGCTATAGGGTATCTTTTAGAGAAAAAGATAATCTTGCTTTGAAGACTTAAAGTGACAAAGAATTCACCGCATTCTAGGTTAAGTTGTTTTAGTGGCTATTTATCTTCACTATTAAAAACGTGTGCACTTTTCCCAGCATGAATTTGCCTAGCTTCAGTTTCCTACCACTAGATCTTGAGGGGAAGGGTTCTGTTAGATTAATGACCTTTCTGCTCTTGGAAATCTCTTTCCTTTGTAGATCATGATCAGATCACCTCTTATCTTCCTTAATATATAAACTACATAGACTGAGATTCTTTAGTTTCTCACTAACATGCATTATTTCCAAACTTCAAATCACTCTTGTAGTTTTTACTCTAAATCCTTGGAATTTTTAAATGTATTTTTTTAAGTATGACACCAGAATGGGCTACAGAATTCCAGTAACAGTCTCTTCAATGATATATGAAGAGGTACTACCATCAACTTCTTCCTACTTGATATTCTTCTGTATATATATATATATAAGGATTGTATTTGTAATTTTAGTTACAACATAGCATAATCATCTCATGTTCAATTAATTATCTTTTATAACCCTTAAACTCTTTTTAGTGTCACCACATTTCAGAATACAGTCCCAATTCTAGAAGTGCCATCTACATAATTTTTTTCTTTATGTTTGTGCTTGCGCTTGTTAAAACAGATTTTGTTCAAGTAAGTAGAGCTGCCAAGAGGGTGACAACTGCATTTTGTGGCAACTTTTGAGGTTACAAAATTTGTTGAACAAAAAATAATTTCTTGAACATCTAAATTAAAACAGAATTTTATTAAGGCACATTTTGGGGGCTGCTAGTTTGGGTATTTGCCTAGGATTTAACTACTCTAGGTTCACATTCCTTCTCTGACTTTCTCAAAAGAATTTTTCATCACAGATCATTCCAAATCAGGTGAACTAGGGACTTGGATTTGGTTCTACCCATCACTGGCTAGCATACCAATGATCTAGTTACAGATTGTCTTAAAAGCTTTCCTGATGACAGTTTTGAAAACTAGCTTCAGCAAAAATATTTTAAATAGATCTATAAATGAGCTTACCGTCCTAAAAGTCACTCATATAAGTGACTTCACCTCATCACTATTCATTATATTTACACACTTTTATGTCAACAGCAACATTTACCAGCATGGTTCTTTATTTTTTTCTGCATCACTAATAAAGTATTTAATAGCTTTGGATTGAGATTAGAACCGCACTAGAAAGACGGAATTGGATGACAGTCCCCAATTTACAAATATTTTTGTGACCTATCAGATATCAGTTTTAATCCATTTAATATGAGCTTTATTATTTTATAGTGACAGTTTATTCATCAGAATGTGAAAGACTGAGTCAAAAGCCTTAAAGAAGACTGAGTATATTATGCCAACAAAGTTACCAACTAAAGTGATGATCTCATCATGAAACAATATCAAATTTGTCTCACAATACCTATTTTCCATAAAACCATTTGATTGAAATGATATCAATTATTATTTGCTCTTTAATGATTGTGTCCCATATCAGCTATTCCATGATTTTATGTGGGACCAGTGTTAAACTTTTATAGTTTACCTGGGTCATCCCATTTACCCTGTTACATGTGGCCATGACTTTGGCTTGTTCTTTCCACTCAGTTTTTCTCCTGATTGTTTTCAGCTTGGAAATGGCCCTGTTTAAAGATCAAATTACCGGCTGCCTTTATATTCTGCTTTTACATAAATTCAATTAAGTCATAATCGCCTTTACTTGGGAAGCCATCTATTCTCAAGCCATCTTTATCTACCAGAATGAGGTCTAATCTAGTATGACCCTGAGATGATTGCAATACATGTTGTGCTAGAAAGTTATCTATATTTTTAGGACCCACAATGACGTTTAGCTGGGGGCAGCATACACACTCCAGTGTATGGCCCTCCCATTGAAATCCACATGTTACTAATTTTGATCCAAAATAGATGAGAAGAAAGGCCAAATCATGCTTGTTTTACTTGTGTCAGCAATGGCTCCATTTGTATGAGTAAAACTAACTGACATGCAAGCTGATAGTTTTTTTTCTCCACTTTATGCTTTTGAACTTCATTCAGTAGAGATAGCTAATTGACAACATGTGTGATAAGTTACTCTCACTGAAGTCAATGGCAAGATTCCCAATAACATTATTAGGCCTACCATTAGACCCTTGAAGCACAGATAGCTTCAAAAGAATGCGGCCAAATAAATCCTATAGCAGATCTGAAGAAATTATGACTCCAAAGAGTGTACATGTGATGCATCAAATCATAATAAAGTAATAAATAGGGCAACAATTTATTTGGGAAAAGTGTAGCCCTGTACTATGATGGTACATTATTTGTTGTAGTTAGGAGCTTATTTATTCTAATATAGAATATTTTGGAAAATTATTCTCTTAATTGTTTTCCAAATGTGCACTGGAATTCCATCTTTTTCTTCTATGGTAAAAAGGGGGTGGGGGAGAATTAGGTTTTAAATGCAGAATTGGCAGAACAATTAGGAGGTGCATATAGTAAATTCAGAAAAAAATGTTTTGTAGTTGCAATCCAAAAGTTATTTATGTTTATTTTACAGACCTAGTGAGTTGCTTCAACTCATAAGTTCTCATTAAATACTTATAGAAAAATCATAGCATTTCTTACCTCTGCAGATAGGAACTGGGAAATCCCATGATGCTGTGTTCACTGAGTTAGCTATGCAGGTAAGCTGAGGGTGGCCATCCAAAATGTATCCAGTTACACAGCTGTAGCGGATTTTATCACCAACATCAAATTTTGTACCAGACAAGATGCCCTTTGGTGGAACGCCTGGATTGCCACAAGAACTGCTCTGTAACTCTGTAAGGGAGAAAATATGTAGTTATTAATTATGTCTATAAATAAATCACGGTCTATACTGTATTAATAATTTGGAAAAATAAATTGTGACCATTTAGGAGCAGGAACTGTGTCTTCATATGTGTTTTTCAAGCACTCAACACAATAATTTATTCATGTTGATTTGGCCCTTTGAGTACTGTGTATTGAGAATGGAATTGGAATGTCAATCTAAATAGTACAAATATGCTTTGGATGATGAATAACTATTGATTCCATTTATCCCTCACAAAATAGAAAAGCCATCCACTTCTGTTTACTCCCAAATAGAATCCACCTGAGAAATAAAGACAATAAGAAAATGGTCCATATCTTGTGAGGAACTTTCTCTAAGGCCCCACAGATCAGTCAAATTTGGGAGTTCCTCTATCAAGAATAGAAACTACAATTGCTAAATGAGAGTACTAAGTTTTCACAATTTGCCTATGGATAAAAGCTCTTTCTCCCACCCAAATAACCTAAAAAAGAAATCTAAGTTACCACATGAGGGAGACATATTGCCTTCCTGTGCAAAGTGTCTCATTTCACACTGAGTTGATTAAAAGATGAGTGGGGAAGCTGCAAATTAAGCAAATTAGATATGATTGACCATAAGATTGAAGGTTAAATTGGGTAAGGATTAACCCAAGAAATCCAAAGAACATGTTTTCACCCCAAATTATAAACTATATATTATTTTCCTGGAATAGCAAATATACTATAGATTATCTATCTTTCACCCAAATTAGAAGCTGCACATTGGCTTGGCTTGAGAGTCAAATCTGCATCATTCTGTAAATAGCCTGACATTCTTACGTATAACCAAAGAATAATTGGAGTACGTCTTTCAAGTTTAAAATAATATATAAGGAATTTTGTTGGTTTTCATTGTAAATAATTGTTTATTCTAGTAGTAATAGAAATTATCTGGCACAATGAGGACGTAATGTTGGAAGATACAAAGCAAAATATAACTTTGAAGTAATGAAATAATGAAGTACCATCCTTAAAATGAATCAAAATTAAAAAGTCTCCAATAAGAATAGGATTAAATACATTTGTTATACACCAGTGTTATCAACTGAATACCAGTGGAAGCAGCAGACACTAAAGAGCTAAAAATTTGAGCATCCACTTCATATTAAATAACCATAAAAAAATTGAAAACAATAACTTCAAGCAATTGCTTTTAATATCCTTAGCTTGTCTTTTTTTTTTGACCAATCCAAGTAAAGAGTAGTAACCATATTCAATGTCTTTAAGACAAGTGCATCCTTTGAAATGTTGTAAATATGTTGAGAACTAAGCATTTTTAATCACAAATATATGTAATAAAATGTTTGGTAAATTATGCTGTTCCTTTTTGTAACTGATGAACTTCAACTTCATAATTGCTTGCAAAGCTGTACTGTGTGGGTTCACACTAAGAAAATTGTTTGGTTCTACCCTGAGTAATCAACTCTAGACTGTGCTATATGTTTGGAAAATTGACAGATTAGCGAGGAGTTTAGAGAAGATCAAAAAAATTATCAGAGACCCAGAATAAGAACAAAGATTAAATGATCTAAAAGATCTAAATGCATGTAATTTGCCTAAGCAACAAATAGAAGGGAATAAGATAAGAATCTGTATATATGAGGAGGTTGTTGTTAACACCACGGGTAGAAATGGATTATTAAGTATGGAGCAGAGAAGCATAACATGTGATTGGATTCAGATACGAAAAGGAAAGTCTAAACTGCATATAAGGAAATATATTGACTGTGAAATCTAGTCAATTGTGGAATTGCTAGGACAAGGCTGATGTCTCATCCCACTGGACTTTTAAAAATAAGGTGAGGTAACATTAAAATATTCACCAAAGGAAACAATTCTGCATTGGCAGAGTGGTGTACTGGATGACATAATGGCTCTTTTCCACTTCTAAGTATTATGAATAAAATCCTGTGCTACATCACACAATTCATACCTGAGCAACAAAAGAATGAAGGAGAGTTCTTTGCACCTTCCTGAGCTTGGGGAACTCTTAAAACACTGGTGTAAACATCCCAGGGGCCCACTTGAGTTACAGGCACCATGCTTTCCTATGGGCTACATTGCCTCTCAGAATCTCCACAATGCTGTGGTCCCACCCTAACATGACTTTCCTATCCACAGCCATATTGTCACGGTTTGTGGAATTATCCTTAGAAGGCAGCCTTAAAGTTCTCTTCTGCAATTCCTTCCCTGAGGTAATCCTGTAACAGCTAGAACTTTTTCCTCCTTGCAGCCTTTTTTTTTTTTTTTTTTTTTTTTTAAAGGAGTCAGAGTATGGGTAGGGAATCTCATCCTATGATTCTAATACTTTCTTTTGGTGTTGTTTTTAATTAATTTGCAGCCATATATAGATCCTGTGGACATTAAGGTCACAGTACCTACAGGGTTCAGTTTGGTTTCCCAATAAAGGGAACACTTTTAGAAACAGGGATTAAAATACTCCTGAAAAGCAGGGTGCTGAAACTATTTTTTTTTATAAAGGAGGGCTAATGATGGAAACCATGGAAATAATGTATTTGACCTTTGTTATTACAATGCTACTTCAAACCAGAGGATGTGATAATACCTCCAACGTCCTTGCCCGAAAGGATCTGCAAGTAATAGGATTAGGGCAAGGCAGAGAAAAGCCCTTAACCTTTTAAAAGAAAACTGAAGTCCTAGATCTCTACCCACAGTAATCACTGCTTATAATGACTCCCTTCATCCTGGATACCAGCCATCTAGCATAGCTATCAGAATAGAATCTACTCTCACAAACTATTAATATATTTAATTACTTAATTTCTAAAAGAAAACAACTCTTTCCTGTAAGTAATCAGTTTTCCAGTTGCATTATTACATGGCTCTACTAAAAACTTTTATGGCCTTTTCCATTTCATTTTTAATACTGAGAAAATGGCTAGTGATGAATCAAGTTTTCTTCCACCTCCACTTCACACAATTTTGTATTATCATTTGATAATAATGCAATTGTATAATTGCTAATAAATTTGTCATTTCCTTGAGTTTTTTTATTTTGAAACAAATAAAAATACATGGTAATTTAATGTAATTCATCAGGAAAATACATTGGTTTTGTCTTTTTTCTGTAGACAGCATTTATTTTAACATTTTTAATATGTGCCTAATACCAAATCTCTGTGTGGATGTAATTAGTCACCAATTCATCCAGCTCCTTTCCCTAGGTGAAACTCTAAGAGAAAAGATCAACAAAAATAGCTATTTCAGGCAATGAGAGAAGCAGATTTTATTGCTGAGGGTATCTCAGTGGCAGTGTACAGTACTGATATATTTAAATCTGGGGATTGTTGGCTTGAGCTCCTCATATGATAGAAGCATAAAAACTGCCATACAGGAAAATCCAAATTGTTCCAGTATGCCTGCTTCTAATCCCATGTAGATGGTAGTTTAAAACTTAAAACATGAATTTAATATCCCTGACAAAATGTTTGAGTTAATTATTACTGTTTTGAATATTTTTAGTCACATACATGTCCATTCCTATTTTGAAACTTGCTAAATTCTTGGCATAATGACACCCCAATGTTCCACGTTCTAATTACAGATAGTGGGGAAAAGTACTTCATTTACCAGTTTTTAAATTACAAGCTTTAAAGTTAATTCAAAGTCCCCTTTTCCTTGTGTTATGAGAAAGGGAGAACAGAAGCCCCTTTTGACAGTTAGTGCAACCGCATGCTAAAACTTTAGGAATTGTATTCAGTTCTAGAGGAGAAAATTTCGCACAGCACCTTCTGGAATAAACAACAATGGGAAATGAGTAGGCCAGGTGGTCAAAGCTGTAAACCACTCCAGAGAAGTACCATACCTAGGACAGTTTGCATATCCTGGTTCAAGACAGTCCCACAGGAGAGGAAAAAAACAAAAAAGGGACTAGGAATTGCAAGGGTAAGCTTGAACTGAGAGCATTTCAACAAATGGAGTGACTTTCAGTCTTAAAGGGGGTAGGGGCTAACTCTGCTGAGGGTTAGAAGGGTTTTAATCTGCCAGGTACCGAAAAGGCAGATTGGCATGTTTACTATGTATCTAGATCTTCCATTGCTTTCTAAGTTTTCTCTGTAGGATTTTTGTTTTTAAATAAGTATTCTCTGCTTCAAAGGAACAGTTTGGGGCACTGTTAAAGAATTGACATCATATCTGAAGACAAACTAAAAAGTAAGGGATGACCTTTTTTCAGATCTGCTTAGAATAATCACAGTGAAGTACAAGTGTGCTGTCCCCTAGTCAGAAAAGAGAGGAACTTGGGTACCTGTGCAGAGATAAATGCTAGGGACCTGAGCACAGACCAGACTACAGAGGGGGAGGTAAAGGTGCAATTAGTCTGAAAATTGTGGCACTTCTTTATACCTTCCATTATTTTATACTAGAAGACTGACCTGGTATTGCTCAGGACCTTAACTCAATTATTTTTTTTTTGTTTCTGGAAAATAAAATGAAAATGTACATGCTTCATGTGAATCATTGCTCTGGGGTAGGGATGGGGATGAGGGGTTCAGTTTTCAGGTTGCCTAGAGGAGAGAGGTACCCCAACTCTCTCTCACCAGAGCAACTATTCCCTATGCCCAAACTCACAGGATGTTTTTTGTTTCAGTAATTTGAATGAGGCATGTTAGTTTATTTAAATGCAATAAATAAGTCCAAATGAGATAAGAGTGCATGAAATTATGTGCTTATACGCATAAAAGAAATGGTGAACTGTCTGTGGATCAAGTGCATGAAAATTTTACTTGGATGAGGTTATGACAGCTCCCCCTCTTTCTGATTACTTTAAATACTACCTCAAACTCAGCTGATAAAAAGAGGGATGCACTCAATGTTAATCTAGTCCAAAATTGTATAAAACATTATGCACTAATAAATTAAAATCTGCAACACCATTTGCACCCAGAAATTAAGAGGAAGCCATGTAACATCATATTGGATTCTGA